CTATAACAAATTGCCGCCATGCACAAAGTAGAACCAAATGCTGAAATGGCTGTAGCCCTACTCCTTATCTCCTCCTTTTTATAATATCAATGCTTTCCACTAAAATTATAAGGAGCCTAACAAGATACCTCACTTTTATGAATGTTGTCGCAATTTTACCAACAAATACACTAATTGCTTTACTAACAGCCTTCTTTGTGCAATTGGGAGCATTAGATGAACTCCAAGGCCTGCTTCTCAGCTTCAGTTCTTCATAGTTATCCACCCTGCTATTGTACTGTTACACAGTGCAGTATAGTACTGTTCAGGTTGGGGGGGGGTGGGGTGTGAGCCACAGACCCTGGTTGCCTCTCTAAAACATCCAAAAGATCTCATCTACAGCATTACCTATCCTGTAGTGATCTCTTACATCAAAGGCACTCATTTCCACCTAAACCAAATACCCGATTTCCAAATTTCTGCCCAGATTTATTCAGTACTCTATTTCCACTTTCTCTGAGCCTTCTTCTTGTTCCATCACATTTAGATAGCTGATGGGAGCTCTTTTCTAAAACAGCTTTAAAAGAGTGCAGCAATGATTCTGCAAGTTTAAATAGGCCTTAAAAATACAGGGCTGTACTTGATCCTCCAGTTCTGAGCAAGCTGGTCAAATCCCCACAGACTGCGTCTATGGATCGTAAGATGTCAACTCTCAAAAGTGTCATATGTGTGTGATAGTATTAGCATATGAAAGAGAGTGACACAAGAAAAACAGCTCAAGTAAAATGCCATTACAGAATGACTCTCCATGAACCACTCATTTGTGGAATATCAATGCCTAATGCTTGGCATAAAATTTTCAGTATTGCTGACAACTCTGTAAAACTGGCACAAGTTGGTCCTAGTTTGCAAAGGCATCTGTCTTCCTTTTAACAAACAGCATTTGGAAATCCTTTCAGAAATTTTCTGTTCTGCTACATTCATAAGCAGAGAACATGGTTGTTAGAGGAAACAATTCTAGAAGGATGAGAAATTTTTCATTTACAATTAGCCATAAAAATTATCAGTATATCTGGTCATCAAATAAGTCCAGGAGGAGCTTGCTGTGAAAAGCCAGCACAGCACTTTCCTTACTCATATTTACTTTTCCTTAAGATAAAACCAGTACCGAGTGATTTTGAACATATTTTATGGTCTTTCCCAGGAACTCAACTCTGCTATACGGTCATAGAACAAACAAAATTATGTTAGCATCTGTGAAAGACCACCACATTTTGTATTAGACTTACTGAAGTGAGCAAATCTCAGCTTTAAATTGAGAAGAATCATCAGATGTCTGGGCAAGTTTACTGGACTTCAATTTTAATTCATTTTCCAAAGAGTTTATTCTTTCTTTCAGGATAGAGACTGTAGTCTTTAGTTCACACCTTTCCATCTCAAACTGCAATTTAAAAAAAATAACCAAACATGTTATTGTTGTAGAAAGCTATCACAACTTGGCTTTTAAATAAATATAAGTTGAAAACAGCTAATAAAAATAATTGTTTGAAAAGTCTATCCTACTTTAGAAGTAATAAAAGCTTACTTCCTAAAAATGCACTTACTCCTTGAATGTTATTCTCCAGTTCTGAAATATCATGCTGCATCTTTGATTTTTCAAGGTTAGCTGCTTCTTGCTGAGTCTGAGATAGAAATACAGAATTACATTAATAAGATACACATTTTTAGATTTAAACATAGATATTTAAGCTTAATGTTTAAGAAAACATTGCTCTACATTCTTAGATGAATGACCAAATGCAAAGTTCTCTCTATAAAACTACAGAGCATTAGCTGAAAATACACCACTGCAGTTCAATATAACATCACTGAGTTTGTTTTTGGGTTTTGGTTGGTTTTTTGTGTTTGTTTTTTTTTTTTAAAGAAAAAGTACAGTTATATTTGGTACTAACCAAATTAATATTTGGGAGTTGTTGTAGAAAGATTACTGAGCTACAGGGCGATATGAAAGGTTGCAAGCACGTACAGCTTAGTGTCCTAAGCTGTCTGAAATTAATTTATGAAATTATCATTCATATGAAATGTAAGACAGATTACAAAGCTAACTGGTCTTTCTCCAAGTCTATGAAGAATTTTTTTTTTAAATGATTTGTCTGTTCTCTGACTTCTGTGCATAAGTGCAGTGAAATTATTAAACAAGCTCTCAAACTTCCTAGAATGCCCGAGATCAGTGTTTTTGTGCAGATATTTAAAAGTGGCACACATACAAAATGTTGGTAGTCACCTACAGGAAGAAAGGATGGAGCTGGAAGCACATCGCTTCCACTGCATACGCATGCTTTAAGCAAAGAGGTCAGAGTTACTGCCACTGTATTCAGAGACACTACAGTTCTCTATTTCTGTGGTAGTAAATCAAACTACAGAAACATTCATCGTATAGTCAATCTTGACACATGTTGTCTTTGGATCAGTCCATTAATATGATTTTAAATTTCTGAATTTTCAGGACGTTTTAAAAACCTGTATGCATTATATTAATGACCCAATAAACCCCCCTGAAATCATATGCTCTTGACTACAACCAAATAAGACATTAATGCACATTAATACCAGACATCAAAAGGTCAGAGTAACAGGAAAATTATTGCATTAACAAATTTTTTTTAAAGGTTAAAAATAGTGAAACTTGGATTGCTATGAATTTATGTTTGACGGTTCAGTTATATGCATATAAAATATACTCTGCTACAAAATGCAACAATAACTAAAGATTAGTTAATATGAAAAAGTCCCTAAAGTCCCCAGTTTGTGGGATAAGAACCATGTGTGACACACAAGCATCTTCGAAGTAGTGCATACACACAAAAATATTCTGTGGTTGGGTTTCATATCTAGGTTCTTCACACAAGGTGATGCCATGCTCACTCTCAGACACTTAAAGCATGTTCCTCTCCCCCTATACCCACCTAGGAACAGAGTTTACAAGGATAATTCAGAAAATTCATCGAGCTCTCTCAAGTGAGTTTGAAATCAGGTAAGTGCAAAAGTTATTGAAAAGGGGAACTGACAAGACAGCCAGACTGTCCTGGTTTTGGCTGGGATAGAGTTAATTTTCTTCCTAGTAGCTGGTACAGTGCTGTGTTTTGGATTTAGGATGAGAATATTGTTGATAACACACTGATGTTTTAGTTGTTGCTGAGCAGTGCTTACACTAAGTCAAGGACTTTTCAGCTTCTCATGCTCTACCGACTGAGAAGGCTGGAGGTGCACAAGAAGCTGGGAGGGGGCACAGCCAGGACAGCTGACCCAAACTGGCCAAAGGGATATTCCATACCATGTGACGTCATGCTCAGTATAAAAAGCTGGGGGAAGAAGAAGGAAGGGGGGGGATGTTCAGAGTGATAGCATTTGTCTTCCGAAGTAACTGTTACGCGTGATGGAGCCCTGCTTTCCTGGGGATGGCTGAACACCTGCCTGCTGATGGGAAGGAGTGAATGAATTCCTTGTTTTGCTTTGCTTGCGTGCGCGGCTTTTGCTTTACCTATTAAACTGTCTTTATTTCAACCCACAAGTTTTCTCACTTTTATTCTTCTGATTCTCTCCCCCATCCCACCGGGGCCGGGGGGGGAGTGAGCAAGCAGCTGTGTGTTGCCGGCTGGGGGTTAAACCACGACACAGACACAAACATGGCATTATTATATAAGCCTTCCCTATATGCCACCTCACTGGAAGCAATGAAGCTATAAAAGCTCACCTTTAATTTTTCTCTGAGGCTTTCTTTTTCTGCCATTAGTCTTCTAAAGTCAGTCAGTGCAATGTCTCTTTCTTCTTCCACGTGACTTTGAGAAACTAAACTGTGTTTTGCTTCTCTTCTCATCCTGTTCAATTCACCCTGAGACTTTAAAAGATTATAATTTGTTAGCATATGTGGATTGCAATTAATACAGTGTACACACTAACAAAAAAGAAAGTTTCAATGCTGTTATTATAATAGAAGTGGTATTATAGCCTTATTTTTCTCTAGATAACTAAAATATATTCCCTGAATCACGCAGTGGCACGATAACTTATGCCGCCAACATACTCATCATCCTTTTACTGTTCCAAGTATAGCCTAACTTCAGTCTGTTTTCTTATCAGTTAACTAACACTTCTTCCTTGCTTTGGTATCCTTACCAAACTTTCTCATGCATTTTACTGATTACTCCCCCCACCCCTCCCCGATCTTTCTCATTTCCAAATGCCAGTACAGTAAGTTATAATGGCTTTGAAGTTAATACACTAACTTTGGAATACATAATTTTATTAACATGTAATAAAAATAGGTATATATTTTATTATTATTGGTTATATTCTAGTAGCTCTATACTCCTCAAGTTCTATTATAGAGAGAAGTTTTTTCATTTTAAATAAGCAACAGTACAACAAGTGTTAATCGGTTATTTCAATGCCAATTATAAATCTCTTCTTACCTGCTCATAAAGAACATTTAATCTATCTCTTTCTGCAGTCAATAATTTGACATTGGATTGAATTTCTATCATGTGTTTTTCAAATCTGTCTAACATGGACCGTAGCTCATCTCTTTCTCTGGTGATCAATCTAAGATCTTCACTCTGCAAAGTGATTAATAACATTTATGTTAAAATATGCTAATTAAAATATTTGGATAAGTAATACAAAAAAAAAACGAACTCACACTATTAGTAATACATGAAAAATACATACATAATGAATTTTAATAGCAAGAAAAAGCCTGGCATTGGTGGTATAATTTAAACAATAAGAACTAACTGTTAAGGAGAAAAAGCAAAACAGCTACCAATAAGATTTCAACCTTTTTCTGTTTATCATCTAGTTCTATTTATTTCAAACAAACTGATCAATAATTAATCAGTATGTTACTGTAAAATGTGAATAGGAAAATAAAACGCAAGTTCACTGGAGTTTCTCTCAGTTAATTTTTTATGTTAAGAATGTAATTTAAAAAACTACTACCAGTCATTTACTGCTACTGAATTTGAAAATATATTTGATAGCTCCTTAAATGGTTCTACAGTATTTCCATTATTTTTTCAGCTTGTCTTGACAGCAGGAACTTTACCTTCTCTGGAGTCCTACGGCTTGGGCTAGGCCTTCGTTTTAACATTTTCTGAAGATATTCTAATTCTCGCTTATAATAATCTCTGTCATCTTCTAAAGTCTTTACAAATGCATCTAGACGAGATGGAGATTTGTCTCCTAGGGCTATACCATATTCTAATCTCATTCTTTCTATTTCTAGGACAAGTTCTCGTTCTGCAGAAAAAGAAATAAAAACAACTGGATAGGAACCCCATGAATTTCCACAAAGACATTTGCATTTGGGAGGGACTAACTCCCAGCAACCATCTGGACAGCAAATCTGCTGAAAAGGATGTAGGAGTCCTGACTGACAGTAGGCTAAACATGAATGAGTAGCGTGCTTCGGAGCTGAGAGAGGCCTAACAGCATATTGGGCTGTATCAACGGAGACAGAGACTGAGAGATGTGATTATCGCCCTTTACTTAGCACTCACTAGAGCGCATTTACAATACTGTGTTCAGTTTTGTCCCCCCCTAGTACAAGAAAGATGTTGATAAACTTGAATGAGTCCAGGGGAGGCCCTCCAAGCTGGTCAGGGAGCAGAATACTTGCCCTGTGGGGAATGGCTAAGGGAACTGGGCCTGTTCAGCCTGGAGAAGAGCTGGGGACCCAAGAGCAGACTGACAATACCAAGAGGGGGTTATAGATAACATGGAACCAGTTTCTTCACAGAGGTGCACAGTAAGTAAACGAGGAACAACGGTGATTAATTGCTACAGGCAATTACAAGCAATACAGGGAAAAAAATGTTTACTCTGAGGATAAACAAACATTGGAATGGGTTGCTTAGAGGTGTTGTGGAATCTCCATCCCTCAAGATTTTCAAGATCGAACTGGATAAAGCTCTCAAGAAACAGTCTGAATTCACTCACTCAGACAGAGAATAAAAACATTTTTGGACAAAAGAAATTATTCTGTATGAAACTGCCATAGTATTAGTATTAGGGTGTTCTGTGGGATCACAGTAAAAAGCTCCACTTTCAGTTCTCACATACAGAATGAAAACATGTTTCCGTGACAAAAGTTTTCACTTCAATTCTGACTGAAGACCTACAGCCTTCTTTTAATTTACATATATCAAGTCCTTTAGTATTATTAACTGTATCTTAACTAGGTAAGGTTTTCCATTTCAAAAAATATAGGAAGAAAATTTAGAGGAATCTACATTTGATGATTCACCTTTTATTTCCAAGTTGTCTGTTTTTTCTGTCAGCCTTTGTTTCTCTTGTTCAAGCTGGTTTAACAACAGTTCAAGATTCTCTTTATCATCTGCTTTTCCAAAGAGTTCTTCACTCAGTCTCTTGTTCTCCCTACGACATGAGCACAACTCCTGAAGTAACAAGTATTATTACAAAAATTAGAAGTGCCAATAGAGACCTTTGGAAAAAATTATTTAACATTTTGCTAAACTTTTAATATTCAACACTGTTTACTTCTGTTTAACCTGGATGTTTTATCCTTTAACATTTGTTAGAGGCCATCATTGTTTTTATACTACTTTTTCTTACATCAAAACAAGCATTACTTTTGACACGGTTTGCAATCAGTAACAAAACAAACAAAAATTAACCCTTGTTTAATTCAAGAAACCAACCAGAAGGATAGTGGGATACAAATGTGGAAAAAAGAAATAACTAAAGCAAGAAATAATTTTTAATGGCATTTAGTAACACTGTTGGTGTTAAAGTACATCACAATACGGCACCTCAGTCAACCCAATCCTGCAGCTAATCAAATGCCATTTGGTATGTCTTTCCTATAATCTGCTGCCCTGAAAATGAAATACTTTTGTATTTTCAAGTTCACTAGAAATACTAAAACAAAATACTGTACTCAACTAATACACAACTTGCTATATGCTGGAAGGAGTTTGATCTTCAACGAATTCATAATACTGATGTTTTTCATCCGGGCTATTATGCTTTGTTTCTGAGTGAGCCAAGTATTGCATAATTATTCACATGCTGATTAAGAGACAAAGTAGTTTCTAAATGAAGAAAATCCTCTAGGATGTCATAACTCATTTGTGGTAAAAATTATTATGTCATGGAAATTACAACTTCAGATAGCAGAAATAAGGAAATGTACAATAAGGACATAGTCAACCATACTGTCTACAGAGGTTTCTTTCAGTTTATTTTTGCAACAATATGATGTAGCTTCTTTAGCTCTTTCATTTATTAATTAGTTATTTATTACAATAGAGTTTTGGGGTACTATAAAAGTTTTCTTGTTAATTGTTAGATTGTTAATTTTTATAATAAATGAAAGAATCATGTGGATGACAGTAAGGTAAAAATGCTACAAACAAGAAATGAAAGTATTTTTACTTACTGATTTAAGCCTTGTTATTGTTTCTTCAAGATCCTGTATTTCACTGTGTTTTCTTTCAATTTCTTTCTATCAACCAAAATTAACCTATATGTTAGAAGTTACATATTCAAAATGACAACAATTCCTTTGTTACAAAAAAATTAAGAAAACAGACTATTTTTGTAAGAAATAAAGTATAATTAGTTCCTTGTAATCTGTCAATTTTTAAGTAGTAAAGCTCCTATGAACTGAAAGCACAAAAAATTTGTTGTATACACATCCATGCTCTTTTGGAGCACAATTAAATAAATCATCGCATGACTCCTCATAGAAAAAAACCCTCCAAACACAGACATCACTGTTGCAAATATCTATTACCTATCAATAGTTTTAAGTATCCCAGAATTTTATTTCATACTAAGCTAACGGAAGAAGGAAGATGGATTGCCTCTTAACTAAACTCATCTCACCTAATACAGTAAAGAGACAAAATTGCTATGATTAATCATCTTTTAGTGAGAAATTCTGTATAATATTAAGTAAACTGGAAAAAAATATCTTTTTAATCTTCCTTTACAAGCCGGCAGGTCATTTGTTGCAATTAAAAGATATAAAGCCCCCTAAGAGCTGAGCAGATCCTTCACACTGTAACACATTAGTGATTACCTTTGCTTCTCCTATTTCCTTATCTGCAGTCTCGAGCACAATTTCCTTGTGTCTTTCCAACTGCTGTGCCAAGTGGTCTATTTCATTCAGTTCTTGACACAGTTCTTCATTTTTATTGCTTAAATGCACTACCTCACTAGTCACATTTTGTTTAGTGTCCAAGAGATCTTGAATGCGATTTTCAAGTTCTTTGTTTGTTTGTTGAAGATACTCAACCTGAAAGATATTTTTCATTAAAACATTAATATGTATTGTTAAACTAGGTAGCAAAAGTTCCTCCCAATCTTCTGAAATATAGTATCTCTATATCCATAGTAAAAAAGGGACATCCTGTTAAAAATGGCAAGATTTTCTATTTTTGGAAGTTAATGTTTATCAACATGAAAAAATATGATTTTACAAAGGTGAAGGAATTCATTACTACACTAAATAGTCTCCAAAACCTGAGGTTTATTCTAAAAAAGTACTGAAAAGCAGAGATCTGTATAGAAACCTGTCCTGGGCATCAGTCCGGTAGACCCAATGTACTTAGTTTTCCTAAATTTCACAAGATATGAGGACACATTCTTCTCTCCACCTTTGTAGTGTATTTGCTAGGCTTAGTCTCACTGTTACTCCTTCATGAAAGTGAAGCTTTACAGATCAGATTCCCAAAACCTATCTTGCCCCCGACATATCTCAGCACCTTAAACACAATATCCTCAGAAATCCTGCTCTACAGACATTGTTTTTCCCAGTATACCTTTCCGTGAGAGTAAAGGGAAGAGAGGCAGGGATGTAGAGTAGGAATAAAAAATATACACAATAAGTTATACTACCCAGGAAAATGGGAGCCTGGAGTATCTTGAAAAGATTCAAGATAACAGTGCTCCACTTCCATCTCCACGCAACTTTCCTCAAAACTCCAGAAAGAAGTATTATTGTATTATTGTAGACACAGAAGAAAGTCTGAGCCCTCTCATAGTCATGAATACTACTACATAGAGCTATCCATCCGTTTATTGTCAGAGAATAAAAGTGGTATATTGGCACTGAGCCTAAGCAAATAGTCTTGATGGCCCAAAACCAGCTTCATGCAGCTCTGGGCTCACTCTGTACAATCAATTTGTGTCCAGCATGACTTACTAATTCAGGATCACTGAACAAAGTTGTACTGCTTCCAAGTCATAGCTCATTCTGTATTTTTGCAGCACTGAACCTAAGCTAATAATCTCTGCAATGTGGCTCTCATGCCACCGTACATCACGCACAATCAATATAGAAAACGTCTAACTCGGTTTGAAAAACAGAGAATTGATGGTATAGATCCAGAGATGGCCTTTACTTGATGTGTACTCCAGCCTGTCTTGTATTATTATTTTAAATCCTCATTCTGAGACCAATATTGAATGCATGCTAATATGCACAGTAAACACAAACATCTTTATTCTAATCTTATCCTTTCCTTGCAAGTCTATGTTGGAGTAAAGGTGGGGATGATTTGAATTCAACGAGGAAGGTTCCCCACTATCTGATGAGATTATCTGCAGAACTACTCCTTATCATAATTACATACACCATTGTTAGTTCCTAAAACATAAATGGTATGTATGGAAAGAAAAAAAAAAAAATTGAAAGTAAGTATTTTCAAACTTGGTGAAAACAGTGTATCACAGAAATTTTCTGAGTACTGTCAGATTAACATTACTACGTACAATAGAATTCTTTAGGAGAACCATTCTAACAGACTTTTAAAACAAGAAATGAAATTTCCTTAGACAAGAAACACTGCCACCTAAAAAGCAAAGCAAGTTAAATTGATTTATTTTATATCTAATAGTGATTTTTTTTTAAAGAGCTAGAAGTTTTGTGGGTTTTTTAGATTGCTAGTATTTTTAGTTTTGACTAAACTAAAAGTTTGGCCCCTCACTACAAGAAGGACATTGAGGTGCTGGAGCGTGTCCAGAGAAGGGCAACGAGGCTGGTGAGGGGTCTGGAGAACAAGTCTTATGAGGAGCGGCTGAAGGAACTGGGGTTGTTTAGCCTGGAGAAAAGGAGGCTGAGGGGAGACCTCATCGCTCTCTACAACTACCTGAAAGGAGGGTGTAGCGAGGTGGGTGTCGGTCTCTTCTCCCAAGTAACTAGCAATAGGATGAGAGGAAATGGCCTCAAGTTGCACCAGGGGAGGCTTAGATTGGACGTGAGGAAAAAATTTTTTACTGAAATATTGGTTAAACATTGGAAGAGGCTGCCCAGGGAAGTGGTTGAGTCCCCATCCCTGGAAGTATTTAAAAGACGTGTAGATGAGGTGCTTAGGGACATGGTTTAGTGGGCATGGTGGTGTTGGGTCGATGGTTGGACTCGATGATCATAGAGGTCTTTTCCAACCTTAATGATTCTATGATTCGAAACAACAGTAATAAATCCATTACCTGCAAATTCAAATGGGCGATAAGCTTCTCATTACTTTTACTTCTCGATTCCAAAGAGATAACCTCATGAGAACGCCCACCATCCAATGCTAGCACTAGGCGTTCTATTTCTTTGTCTCTTAGCTCAACCTTTGAGGGGAAAAAAAAAAGTTCTTTGGTATCTTCTATACCATTTAATAGAACCTTTGTTCAAATAAACACCTATATAACATCCAGTAAAAAGATATGCACCTAATAATGCAATTTTTATCTTTAATATAAATTTTTTTAAAATTCTGGATTTTTCTGAAAAAGTGATTTCTTTGAAAGAAAAATAAATGAATCAAATAGAATTTGTGGAAAAAAAACCCACAAACCTGAAACAATTCCTACTAGATTATTTTCTTGAAGAGAAACCAACAATTTTCATTTAAAGTGAAGTTAATGAATGTTGAAAATTAACCATCTGAGACTAGCATTTAAATTTAGGGAAAAAGCTTTTAAATCAGCTAATTCAGGGACTATTTCAGTCACTGAAAAACAGGGGATACTGGAAGAGGAAAACCAAGACGTGAACCAAAAAAAGAGGATGGTGTCCACTAATCCCCAGATATTGAAAGATATAACAACATATGAACAAATGATGCAATTCCCTCACTTAAAGATTTATACGTATCTTACCAATCCACTCTAATTAAAATATTGTAAAATCTGTTGTCCATAAATTAACTTTCAAAAATTAAAAATTAAAAAAAAGTAACCAGTTCAAGCAGTGAAAAATATTATCCTAAGATATCTGTGGATCAAATTACTATTTTGGACCAGTTAATGCTTCTGCACTCAAAAAGCCTACACATACATAAATTCTACTTACGACCCATCAAGTTTAGCTTATTTAATGTAATTTTAATACACAAAATATATCAGCAAAAGCAGCGGGCAAGTATTTTATCATTGCTGCTGTCTCCAAAAGCAGAGGAGAGAAATAGCTCAATGTAGGCAAGTTAGTATTTCACAAGCCCTACGATGCTCTCCCAATGAGGTTAAAACACAAATTATAATCAAGGTCATTGCAATGGCTACTACAGCCAAATAATAATACAAAATCTGTAAACATACCTGTTTGCTGTAATTTTTCATTCCACGTTCAGATATCTCCAGCTTTTCCTGTAGCTCTGTTACTTCTGACTGAAGTTCATGAATTCTAAAAGGTACCAATATACTGTTTATGTGGATTCATGGAAGAATCATATGTATGCAACAATTCAATATTAGTATTTTTTCTTTGCTCCTGAACATAAATATTTCACAAAAAATAGTTTTGTTCATACAAAAATATTAATACAGAAGCCATTGTTTGAGATATTGTAGCGGGTTGACCTTGGCTGTCTGCCAGACCCCCACCCAGCTGCTCTCTCACTCCCCCTCTTCAACAGTATGGGGGATAAAATAAGATGAAAAAGCTCATGGGTCAAGATAAAGACAGGGAGATCATTTACCAATTACTGTCACGAGCAACACAGACTCGACTTGGCGAAAATTAATTTAGCATAATTAAAAATAGAGTAGGATGGTGAGAAACAAAGACAAACTAGAGACACCTTTTCCCCACCCTCTGCTTTTTTCCAAGCTCAACTTCACTGCTTCACTTCTGACTCTTATACCTCCCCCCTACTCCAAGTGGTGCAGCAGGGATGGGGAATGGGAGCTGCGGTCGCAGCTTTGCTGCTCCTTCCTCCTCACACTGTTCCCCTGTTCCAGCGTGAGGTCCCTCTCACGGGATACAGTCCTTCATTAAGTGCTCCAGCATGGGTCATCTCCACACAGTACAGTCCTTCAGGAGCAGACTGCTCCACCATGGGTCTCTCACAGGCCACATGTCCTGCCAGAAAATCTGCTCCTGCGTGTGCTCCTCTCCACGAGCTGCAGTTCCTGCCAGGAGCCTGCTCCACGGGCTGCAGCTTCCTTCAGGGTATATCCACTTGCTCCAGCATGGGGTCCTCCATGGGCTGCAGTGTGGATATCTGCTCTGATATGGTGCTCACCAGAGGCTGCACGGACAACCTGCATCACCATGGTCTTCTCCACGGGCTGCAGAGGAATCTCTGCCCCCTCCTTCTTCACTGTCCTTGGTGTCTGCAGGGTTGCTCTCATTTTTCTTACTCCTCCCTCTCACTGCTGTGGCGCAGCATTGTTTTTCACCCTTTCTTAAATACATTTCCACAGGGAGCTTGGCTGATGGACTCAGCTGTGACCCATGGTGGGTCTGTTTTGAAGCCAGGTGGAACTGGCTGTGTCCAGCACAGGGTAGCCGCTGGTCTCTTCTTAGAGAGATCACCCCTGCAGTCCCCCCGCTGCCAACACCTTGCCATGTAAACTCTCTACAGATATATTCTAAATAAGAAAAAAGAATTGACTTGAGCCTTTCATAATACAGGTTCCCAAGCCAAAAATAGTATTACAAGAATATTTTAGTCTTCCAAAATAAATAGGAAAAATCAGTTTACTCCTATGCAAAACATTACACCTAGCTTTTTTCCAGAATACCCAATCTAAAATTAGTAAAACCAGTATAGAAATCTTAAGAGAAGTCCTTTACAGAAATAAGCAGCTTATTAAATATCCATTGCAACTTTGTCACAGGCAGCGCTGTCAATCGCTAAGCAAAATCCTATTTTGTTTGAAGCAAATTTGAAAGGCAGAAGGAGGGTGGGGGTTGGAAAAAAATCACAGCAGATATTTACTACCTATACTTCAAAATTTAAAAGTTCTTTAGATTACCGATTATCAGCCACCTGAAGAAGGTCTGCGATATAAGGGTCCTCTGGCTGAGGAACTGGATAGGCACTAACACCTGATGGAGGGACAGGCTGGTCTATCTGCATGCGTTGACGCCTGAAGGGAATGCTTCTTTTTCTGCCACCTAAAAGCCCAAACCCAAACGCCTATTACTTGGAGTTAAAGCAAGGGAATCTTCTTCTTTAATACAAATGAAATTTCCTATTTATTCCACTGCTTCTGAACTGGCACGTTTCACCATTTTAATCTTACTCTAATAAGTTGATAAAATTCGTACATTCTAGACAACACCATTCTTGCAGGTTAGTATCAGCTTTGTCAAAGTTCAGTTTTATAATAAGGAAACATGCAAAGTTCAGTATAAGTAATTTTCCCCAGTGTTTAAGACCCTAAATGTTCTAGTTCAAACTTGTTGAATCTGTTAGTGATTTACCTTACTAAAAAAGCTAAAATAAAACATTGCAAAAGACATTTTGATTTCACATTTAAGAACTATTTTATGACTGAACTAACCTCTGCATTGTTTAGTAATGCTTTTTTTCCTTCTATCCTATTGTCATTTCAGTGAATGAATACCGTAAGCATATCAAGCAGAGTAGGTTATTCGCTTGCATGGTAACATTATTTTAAAAACAAAGCAAAACATAGTATTATTTCCAGAGGGAAAAATTACTCTTCATCACACGATTAAATAAGAACATACAATATTTGATGACGTAGTACAGAAAAATCCCAGAAGACTGGTGACCAAGGGGCAAGTATGCAGAAAGCCAGACAAAAGTGTAACATGGCACCTTTGAAGCGAAGGACATGAAATGCAGAAAGGTGTAGAAAAATAGAGAGGAATTTTAATTTCACCTAACTACCTATTAATTTCCCTCAGATGCCAAAAATACATAGGTAATTCAATGACTTGGAAAGAAAAGACAATTTCAAAATTTCACAAAATACTTCTCACTATTTTCCTTAGCTTGAAAAAAAATTAAGAAAAAGGAAACCTGGAGAAAGAAATTAACCTGAAAGTAACGTCCAGAACACTTTAAGTTATCAAAAGGCCCTTTAAATACTGTAAGTTTTCAGACAGTTGGAATATTTATTTGTAGACATATTTTGCATCTTGCTACTTTTAGATCTTGGTTACAATAATCTGAATTAGTCACTTACACATCATCAATTAGCTGTCAAAAAGATTCAAGTGTCAAACAACCTGCCTCTGACTAAATTATGTGCAGCATTAAAAAAAAAAATAGCTGTTGATTAACAGTGCTTTCCAGTAACATTTTAACTTTAGTCTTCTATTGAATCTAAGTTTGTATTCAAATTTGTCCCAAACACAAGTGATGTGCTAATGAAACTTCTTCCATACAGAGAAAGACTGAATTCAGAGCCAAAACTTTCAAAAGGTAATGTTATTCTATTGGATAGTTATTTTGCTGTAGTAACTTCTCTTCCTAGAGGAAAAAAAATATTATGTTCTGAAGAGCCAAAAAAAGCCCAGAGAAAACTTAAAATATCTGTGATGGTTTACGCTCACCAGGCGTTTGCACCACTGCTTGCAGATTCTTCTCCTGAAGCTGCTGAATTTTTTCAGTCTTGGCTTTGTTCTCTTTTTCTAGCATTTTAATTTTATGTACGTATTGGTTATTCAGAAATTTCAAGTCAGCCGTTTCATGTTCAACCCTCCTTAAGGAGGCTTTCAAATCTTCAAGGGAGAGAAAAAGCAATATTATCTTTCTTATTCATTATTATTTTTCCTAGTGGCACCAAAATAGGCATAAAGAGAATCCTATATTCTTTTTCCATAACACGAAATTTTCAAATACACATACGTATGTGTATATATGTACACACAAACACACAACAATATATATTTATACGTTATACAAACAAAACCCCTTTGTAGAATAAAGGCACATTTAACAGCAGTATTTAATTTTAAATTAAGAAGTAGCATTTCAAGGTATGAAAGTAGATGTTAAAAAGTTCTAACATTTTCATGTTTGATTAAAACAATGATTTGCAGGACCTCAGAAGCTTTTTAACTACAAAAGAAATGTCTGTGCATGAACCTTAATTCATTAAAGGCACCAAAGTCAACGACCACTCACACTCACGTATAAGTACAGATAAATGAATCTGCAGATCAAAGATTTGGCCGCAATTTTATTTTGGCACAGAAGGATTAAAAAAAAGTATCATAATTTTTATATTACCTTTAACATGACGATCAGATTGCTCTTTCAGTTTTAGTATTTCTAAATGTAGTTCATTATTTTCCCTTGTAAGTTTAGCATTCTCTGTTTTATAAGGTTCCAAAATAGCATCATAATTGCTGCATTCTTTTTCAGTTTTTCCAGCAGATAACTTTGCACTGCGCAAGCTCTCAGTTGTATGAACTAGGTCACTAGAATAAAGGAGCATCAGACATGTTAGAAATGTTATCAGCCTTTACACTGCAGATGCAAATATTTATTATGACCTGAGAAACAAAATGCTTTCCCTGAGACCATGTTAACTGTAGAACAAATGGGTTCAAAGGCAAAGAGAACATTCATGTAAGAAAAACTGAAAGACAGGAACCATTCATTTAAAAAAAAGTAAATAGGAAAGGGCAGGACAAATATAAAAAAAAAAAAAGATATTCAGAAAGCGTATCAGGAGTTTACATCTGATAATTCAATTTAAATAAAAAAGTGAGATATTCAAAATTGGCAAGATTATTTTTTCCTCCAAGCACTACATAAGTTGTAGCACTACTTACCACAGAAGAAACTTGAAGAATTAAAAAGGCCAGAAGGTTACTAGTATTTATATGGAGATCAAAAGCTCCACAAGAGAGATTAGTGGTAATTAGTTATAAACATTTTTGTGAAAATAATATCAAAGACAGTTATTGAGAGATTAAACCTATCTGTTAGACACCAGAATGAGACAATGTTGAAGGCAGATTATTCCACCTCTGCCTACCTGCGGTTCTTCCATCTGTATTAGATGCTAGAGAGCAATAGAACCAGAATACCTACATTTGCATGTTTAGCCAAATATAACTGGATTACTATGGAAATATTACGCTCATAATCACATCAAAGCCATGAAATGGCAGATATATTAAGGAGGTCACCTGAAAATTTGTTCTTCTTCTGTTATGTGTCCTGTAAAAACTGCAGAGATAGCAAATTTAAACTTCTCCAAATGAGACCATAAAAAACGGAGCTGTGAATGTTTTATTTTAAGTCACAGTACAGGCAACAGGGATTATTTTTTATACAACCAGTTATAAGGGTGTGTCCTTTAAGCACATATTAAGTGACTATTCTTGGCTCTCTTATGAGGTTAGAAAAGTTGAATTTTCCTAGACCATAGATCCTTAGAAACAATTCTACTGAATTAAATGAGATCTTAAGATGTTCTCATCACTTAAGCAAACCCATTTGACTTCATCATACACAGGAACTGAATGTTAGCCCCGAAATAACATTGCTTGAAAATAATCTTCAGACTAAGCATTCTCCCTTGTATGTCAAAAATCAAAAAATACCTACTACATGATTACTATGTTTTTTATGAATCTCCTTTTGAATACCTAAAAAGCTTTTCCACCAAAGGTAAACTCTCCACTCCCAACGGTTGCCGATAGCCCAGCTGATCTAGACGTTTCCTGAGATTAATGAACCTTCGCTCTGCAGTTGTGGTCATTGTAAACACACCTCCAAAGCAGCTTTTGTCACAGTCAAGAAAAATAGGACACCTGCAAAAGATTGTCTGTTACAGCATTTGTCCTTTAAAGAAGGAATAATATAGAAAAAAGTAATGGAAAAAACATTTTTTGTGTAGGAAATACAGTGCATAAGCATGTCCTTAAAATTTAAGTAAACCAAAAGAAAATCATAGAGCAACTAAAAGGTTTTAAACTTATTTACATATTTCTTTAAAAAGAAATATTTGCCTTGGCAATTAGTTTTCTCTTTCCTAACATCTTAGAGTATGAACATAAATTTTTCTTTCCGGTATGTAAGAACTGAACTCTGAAAAGATCTTTCTGCGGGAAGACTAAGAAGTAGATTCTGGTTTTTTTTTAATCACGGTCATCATGGTATCTTCCACAAGGCAAACTGACAGATTATTCTCAAAACCCCCATATACTTTTTTCTTTCATATATAAATCTTACTTTCAAAGTTTACAAGACAGTACATAACATAACTTATGCCAACCATTTGTAAAATTGCATAAAATGTGTAAAATTTTAAAGACAGATTAACTTTGAACATCTTTTTTCTATGAGGGAAAACAAGAAAGAAAAAAAACACCGGTGTACTATAGTCCTACCTGCATCATCTTCTGGAAAATACAGTTGAAGGATCAGAGGGGTTTTTTTCTTTTGGCTGATTAGTTATCTTTTTATTACTAACCTGATCTAAAAGGGGCTGGATCAGCACTACTGTATCTGAATCCACATGAGAATTTTGGTTTTGCCATGTACATTTGAGGGAGGAAGAATTTTTAGATCATTATGTCCTTCTGGATTTAGAGAGAGAATGAGAAAAAAAATGGAATACTAAAGTTGATGCTCCGCAATATGAGAAAACATCTCTTAAATAGTTAGAAATATTTTTGAAAAACAGTTATTTCTGTAAAACTTTTTCCCTCACATTTCTTCAGAAGTTTCAGTATTAACCTACTGGCTGCAAAGACCTCAGCAGCCAAACTACCAATCCAAGGAAGCGTTGTTTGCATCTCATCTAAAGGGGATAGAAGACAGATATCATTTAAACCATGCTGTTTCATGATCCCCCAGATTTTAAAAAGATATTAAATAAATATATGCAGGTACTTGAAAATAAAATTATTTATGAATAATAAAATGAGAAAACATGCAAGTTTCTCTCATGTCTGAGGCTGGAAAGTAAGATTTCATCTGATTGTATCAAAACACTACAAATAAGTCTAGCAACGGGACTGTGGTTGCCAGGTACTGCTCCACGGATGAGAGAAAATCACCAGTCTTATGAGCACAGCATCTGTCCCAGGTACTGCCAAAATATTTGTTTGAAGAGGTTCAGGATGTTGAGATATTAACTAGGCAATGGCACAGAAAAATCCCTTACGTATTGTACTGGGATGGTTGAAGGAGGAGGCGGCGCACTTCCTTCCACTAAATGGTAACTGTCAATGTACTAAGTGGAAGTCAATGTATTAATGTACACTAAATGCCATGCATTCTCCTTTAGCAGCAAAAGATTAAAGCTAAAAGCAATGAGACCTTGGTATTTCTGCATTAATGTTGAGGATTCTGTGTTGAATTCAGAAAAACAGTGATTGTGTTACTGTGTCTAGATTTAGTCTCAGGAATACATCTTATATTACTACAGAAGTAAGCTGATAACTCTTGAGCCCAGCTTCTTACGAAGAATCGTATCAGTTAAAAGGATTACATTAGTTTAAAATCGTTCATCAGACTTGATTTAATAGCTTGTGTTTTGGAAAGAGAAAGGATTTTTCTACTAATCATATTGAGAAAGTTTTACATAAGAAACATCAAGAACAAAACTGTGTCACAGCTTGTAAGGGAATAAAGTTTTTCTACAGTAACCGTGGAGAAAATAAATGGACAGATGTTAGCACTCCAGTAACTGTGCCTAGGAAGTAGATGCAGGATCTTGCTAAATCACTGCAATGAACATTTAAGTGAGGTGTAGTCACCTAAACATACTCTAATACTGAGAGGTACCAACAGCTTTCTGGTTGAATCACTCTCCTTCCCAAAGACTGGGAATTTTTAATTCAAGACATTATTGCCGCCGGAATCAAACAAGAAAGGGTATTATCTTATATTCCCTAGAGCCATATCTGATCCCAAATTAGTCCAGGAAATGAGTAGCTGGAGTATACGTCCAAAAGATGTCCAGGAATGAAAGTAAGAAGAATAATTGGGGGTTGTTATTTCAGAGAGCTTAACACAGATATTAAAGTCTTCAAAGACAATAATCATTGTATGCTCCTTGCTGGAAAGAAATTATGTGTCAGTAATTCCAGACCTCTGACATTACAGACAACCCTAGCAAAAATCTCATATCCTAAACTTAAAGTCTATCACTAGTCTTATCATGACATCAAAAAGTATCTAGTAACTTCTCCATCAGGAAAATTTGGTTTTCTGGAAATATAAAACGGATATATGAACTGCTGTACTGAATCAGTTGAATGCAAGATCAGTTAGACCCAATACCCCGTGTCTTCGACTGTTGCCACAGCAAGAGTATAAAGAGATAAAAAACATGAGCCAAATCTTACTCCTACGTACCTTCTCTTTCTAAAAGCCTATAGTGGAGGGACTTGATGGGCTTGAAGCTGAACTTAAATCATTATAATAGTACCTGATAGACCTTTCTTAGACATGTCTAATTGTTTTCATGACTCTTTTGCACTTTTACATCGAAATAGCCTATGGCAGTGAATTCCTGAGTTTAACTGTAGGCCTGGAAAAGTAGAACATAAATTCATAGGTATGTGCGTCCCCCCCTTTTTTTTCTTTTAATTCTAAGACATACTAAATAATCATTCCTTGTTTGTGCTTTCAGTCATTGATGATGGCATCTTTAGCAAATCTATTTTCCAAAATTTCCTAGTAGCTTGTACAGCTTTGTCCCTTTCCCATGCTTTTTCTGAGATTGAGATCACTCTGAGCAGCCATAAAGATTCGTTGCTGTAGCCTTCACTATTCATGATTCCTAACTTATCATTTGCCTTTCTGATTGTTCTAAAGCATCAATTAGATGCATTCACGGTGACACTAACATCTCTTTTTCTGAGCAGTAACTGCAACTTTAGAGCCCATGATGTGCATTACTTTGCCTTTATTAACACTGTTCCTTAACTCCCACTTTATTACTCAGTCCAGTGATATTCTTCTGCAACCCTTAGACTGCTCTTAACACATGCATATAATGAGCAAATTTTGTCCCTTGCTGTTTAACCCATTCTTTCAGATCACTGATCAGTGTTAAACAGTAGAAAATTTTCTGCACATTCACTGTAAGGTAGTACTTTCTACCCTTTCTTTTAACCACTTAGTGAGCTACTAAATGACCTTTCTCCATTTCTGAAAAAGACCTGCTTTCTTAAAAGCCTTTAGTAAAGAACCTTCTCAAAAGCTTTTTGGAAATCCAAGTTTTCTACATCGCTCTTACCCAGTCAACTCAATCCAGAATATCCTTTTCTTCAAAGAAACTTAATAGCCTTGTGAATCACGATTGAGTCATGATAAAAGGTATGTTGAACTTATTAGGTTTGCAAAGTACTGGAAAGCACTCTTAACAACTTTGGTATTTCCCACAAGATAGGCTACGTTAGCTGCATAAATAGTTCACATCATTCATTATCTAAATATTTTATGTAATTTAGTGCCACTAGGAAGAAAATATAATTTCCATTTTAGATGAAAAAAATCAGATAAACAAACAAAAAGGGAAAATTAAATGGTACTTTAATCAGGCATTTCCAGACAAGGATTTATCAAGATGTCTAAATGAGTGCATCTTTCAGTTATTCACAGAAGAGATATTCAGAGCCAATAGCTTCATTTTTTGTTCCCCCTTGGTTCACGAAGACTGCTAAAGAGACAACTTTCATGTGCTTCATTTTGTGACATGCCTGGATGGTTTTGAGCAGTCTCTCGACAACCTAGGTGTTTATGAAATAGACATATTTAGCACCTATAAACTGTTCTCTACTGTTCTAAGTCACCAATGACTGAAATTGAACATTGACATGAAAGATGGGCAATAATGGAACTTCAAATCCAGTTCCTTTAGGCTATAAGTATAGAATCAATTTGCATAAAATCGTGTGAAAGAAGCAATGTTAATAAGTATTAGACTAACCATTACAGGTGGAATATGAAACAGAAAAGCTTCAGCACATTGAAGCCCGCCTTTCAGTCTGAAAACAATGCAGCAAAATTCATGGCGAGTATAGGTTAAGAACTGCTCCAGATGCAATACTTGTGTTATTAATAAGAAAACGTAATAATAAAAAAGCAGAGCAAAGATGTATCTTGGCCGTCGAAGACATAATAGGGTCATTGAGCCACGCAGAAGAAAGATAAAACTACATAGCTGACAATGGAACACAAAGAAATTAGCAGAAATTTATATGCTATGAAATCAATTTCTTTATTGAGTCTATAACATTAGCACCAAAGACAATTATGTACCGAAGTTTCCAGACTCAGTTCTGGGAAATACCAAAATGCATTTTTCATTCATCAGGACTGATATGCTAAAGGCTTTTTTTTTTTTGCATGTGTGTGAAATATGTTTACAAAACATCTGTTCCTGTCCTGTAATTACTGGTCACGTAGCTCATTCTACTATAAAGAGCTAGTTTTGATTTCACCCAGGTAAAAAAGGCACCTAGTAGACCAACCATTTTACTATAGTAATGCTCTAATACATGCCTCTATACAGTCCATGGACACTGAAGGCTGCGTTGTGAAACGCCGTTACTGCAACATCATTTTCAAGATACACTGAATGAGGCTGCACTTGTTTTGGCAAAGTCTCCAAGGTTTCCAAGTTGATTTGCTGGGAGTTCGCTTCTGACTAGATATTCATTCATACACCACGTTTGCTATGAAGGGTCGCCACTTTGCCAACAGAAAGGCAACTCTTGCTCCGGAAAAACAGATTTCTTTTTTGAAAAGAGTCACCAAAACCTGTAAGTTTGCATTACAGTACAAGAAAACCCTATCGATTATGGGCCTGCTCATCACGTATCACCCCAAACCGGAAGCTTTATAGACCCTTCAGCAACCCCGATCTATACCTACAGAGGGGCAGTCAGTCCCTATTTAAACAGGTTTTTTTACTTTTTCCACCCTCCCTCCAGGTCGGTCTTACCAGACGTACCGTTAACGGCAAATTCTTGCAGGGCGAGCCACTAAGGAGTAGGCGAGATATTTCAGCGAGGCTTCAGCAGAGATGCAGCTCCGGCGGGGAAGAGGGACTGCAGAGCCCCGAGGGAACGGGAGACCGGCGCGTAGGCCAGACGC